CCCATTCCATATTATAGTAAGGATTTGGTTGTCCTCCTGCTACTGGTGACATTGTAGAAGACAGCTGTGGAGCAATTAAAGGATGATTTGTTTTTTTCTCTTCGCCTAATTGTTCACGCACTTCAGATAATTTTGATGCATTTATTGAGGGTGGCCCTATATAAATTATAAGATCTGAATTACTATAATGAACTTTTGAACTAATAATTATAAATTTATATATATATATATATATTATATCAATATTATTTTTTATTCCTTACTTGAATCGATGGGAATAGCATCTGAAGCTCTTCTTCTTTGCGGACTACTTTTCTTTTGAATTATTTTTGCTTCTTTTTGTGGAATTTTTGTTGTACTTATTGATAAATTTGATGATGACGATGAATTATTCTTTTTTTTTATAATAAAAAATTTTCAAATGTTAAATTAAGAAAACTAAGAATTATTCTAGATATATATATATATATATATATATATAATTTGTTAATTACCGATGAACGCCTTGAATGTTTTTTATTATTACTATTACTATTATTACTATTATTATTATTATTATTATTATACGGACTATATTGTCGTTGTTGCTGATTATCACTATGATTATGTTGATTTTGATTTTGATGACTGTGATGATGATAATTAACGTTTATATCATCATCATCATTAATTTTTATATTTTGTTCTATATATTGTTCTTGTGATGCATTATGTTGATGTGGTGTTTCTTGCTATATATATATATATATATATTATTATTACAACTTTTCAAGAAAAAATTTAAAAAATAAATAAATAAATGAAATATTAACCATTAAAGTTCCTGATGATGATGATACTTGATTTGCCTGTTCTGATGAAGAAGTATTAGGTTCATCACCACCTTTAAGTAAATATGATATGTTTGTTAGATGTTATTATCACTATTATTATTCATTTTATTTTATTTAAAGACCAACCTAGTAATGACAATATTGACATTGGGTTGCTTTTAGCTCTTGGTCTTGGCTAATATATATTAATGGTAAAATAAAATCGATAGTTAGTAAAGCAATATAATAATAATATTATTAATATAATACTAACATTATTATTATTATTATTATTATTATTATTATTATTATTATTATTATTATTATTATTTTGTTGTTGTAGTTTAGAATCATTTTGAATATTTGACAATGCATTTGCTGCTACTTCAACATCGGATATATGATTAGTAGTATTATTGGCTGTAGTATTTAATGGTAACCAACATCAGTTTGTGAGCGAAACCATCCAAAATGATTTAATTTTTCTTACATTAGTTAGTATAATGATAAGTCACACAGCCAACCAAATATATAATTTTTTAATTTCTAAAAAATTTTTTTTGCAAGTAAATTAATAATGAAAGATAAAAATAATAAAAAACCATCATTGATCAACCATCATAATTACAGCTGCAATTACCACGCTACAAAAACCACAAAAACCGCCTTGTTATAATTAAAATGCTTTTAATTTTAATTTGTTACTTGAAATTTACAAAAAAAATTATTTGCAGAAAAAATTTTCCACGAGAATATATGTGTGTCCTAACTAATCAATTGGTAGATAATAAATAATAATGCATTCTTAAAAAAACCTCTAATTTATCTATTCGTTCGTTTCCTTTATTTCTGGTGTGATGTTTTTCTCGTGTGACAAATTGTGGTATGTGGACCACAAGACCGACCTAATTTATTAATTAATTTATATTAATTTATATATATAAATAGACTTTTTTTTTAAAGCTGACA